AAAAAGTAATTTAGTAATCAAGTAATGATGAATTCCAAAATAAATCAGCGTTCATATGAATTATTGATGTTCGTTTTCGGTGAATGTGTTGTTTCGATTTGTTTTTTTTTTGTTTGATTTGATTATTGGTTGGTTGGTTGATTGATGTGGAACAGGCATTGGCAGGTGCAGCGGAAAAAGAAAATCAAAAAAACCAACAGCGTGAGCAGCTATAGAACTAAATAGTTTCAAGTGCTACATAATTAGTTGTGCTAAGAATGAAATGTACAAAATACACAAGCCCGTAAATCTTTTTACCTGAAATTATAAAAATTTATTTTCGAAACCACTAAAATTTTGATATTCAGAGGTGTCTGGGAATAAAGTGCAAACATTAAATAAAGATTAATTGTAGAAAATCGTAAACTGTACCTTCTCAAAGTACATCTTTTAAAAAGATTTATAATTTATTTTAAAATATCTCTCTCTCTCTTCCACTATCGTTTTCTTTATCCTCTTGTTTTCAAGATACCTTCCAAAACATCGAAAAATTACCCTCTTAATTTTTGGCAAGACATTTAAAATTCAATAATCTGCACTTCATTAAGAGATCCCTCTATTATTATATACATAAATATGACGGATTTAAAGACCTGCATTAAAATGTTTAATAATAAAATAAAAATCCAAGACCACTTCAAAAATATTGAATTTTCAATATTATATAAAAGTTTATTATTCAAAAATAGATGAACCACAGGCCAATAAAACTTAAATCACTAATTTTTACTTTTAAAAAGTAAATAAATGTTAAAAGTTTTTTATGCAAATCATCAATCATTTTTATTTTATTTGTTGTAGAAATTAATGATTTACCCAAAACCAACACTACAGTGGACAAGACAACAGCAAATTATGAATTCAAGCAGCAAAATTTTTCTATACACCGCTTATGTTTCTAATACTCGAAAATTAAACTATTTTTTTACAACAAAGACAGCCGTGGAAACTACTCTCATTATTATGTGTAGGCATTTTGACGGTATCCCAAAGACGGTCTATGAATAAAAACAGTGTATGATTATTAGTTTATTATAAATTATATTTCTAATTAAAGTTGACGCTTCATCTAAAATCAAATACCTAATCAATAAATAATTTTTACCGTTTATAGTTTATATCCAAAATTGCAACCACTCATTTTTTTTTTTTTCGTAAGATGCACATTGGTGTAACCACTCAATGCAGGGGCGGCTGTTGCATAAATGCTGTAGAATTGCAGAACTGCCAAAAAAAATGCAATTATCTCGTCTACATTTCACAGAAATTATTTTAGACACTCTACAATATACATATAATAGATTTTAGATTTTATGGATAATCTCATTAATTTTAATTTAATTTTTATTATTATCTCAGCGTCTTTAGTTGTTCTAGTAGTCTCGATGTGTATGTGCCTGTTAAAAAGATTAATTAACAAGAAAGGATTATAGGACACTTCAGACAGATACATCCAATATTTTTGCATCATTAATAAATTGTCTCACAGAAGGCGTTTTTCCTGATAAACAAAGAACTCGTTATATTTAAGAAAGGGGCAATATATTTGCCAGAAAACTATAGCCACATTTCAATCATACCCGTTTTTGAAAATATCTTAAATAATTCCCAGACTGAATATTTAGAGAGCAACTGTATTATAACCAGTATGGTTTTACAAAAAAGTGTAGCAATAAAGGAGTGACATAGTTTGTGGGCTGGAGGATGGGCACTTTGTATCATTAACTTTGTGACCTGTCAAAGCCCTTTGTGACAAAAATTTTAAATATGGCATTCAAGAAGTATCCCACAATCTGTTCAATCTTATTTAACCAACCGAAAACAAGCAGTTTGTGACAATAATGTTATTTCAAATCTATCCGATATAGATCATTGCGTCCCACAAGGGTTCATAGACCATACCTTGTTTATATATTTAAATGACATATTCCATTTTTCCCACCCATTGAAATGTGTATTTTGCAGATGATACATCATTACTGAATGGGGGCATGGATTTAAATCAATTAAAGGGGAAAATATCTAATAGCATTCATGAAGTTAGAAATTGGTTTTCACCAAATAATTTAAACTAAATGAAGACAAGAACCAAAATATCATCTTCAGTTCAAATCAAAATATAACATGGGTTGTCAGATGAAGTTGAACTAGCACATACATATAGATAATTTAATTTAGTGCAAATTTTGTAATACGTAACTTGGCACATCTAGTATATCCAGCACATCTAACACATCTAGTATATCTAGAGATAGAGTCATTAGAACATGCTACCTCTCTCTTTTTCATAGCCATATAAAATATGAAATAACTCTTTGAGGAAACTTCTGCTTCGTAGATAGAATTTTCAAACTATTTTTAAAATTAATGATTATGCCGTTACCTTCTCTTTATATGTATGAAACACTGCTTGAAATTTATAAAAATAAGAATTATTTGTTTGGATTCTCATTTTCATGACTATAATACTAGATCGGGAGAATTCATTAGAACAAATTGCCATAAACTATCTAAAAGCAAAAGAAACTCTCCTGATATTCATTTATTGAAGTAAAAAACCACTTTCTAAAACACTGCTTTTTTTTCAGAAGTTGAGTATTTAAACTTTTTAAATGCTTTCGCTTGAAAAGGATTAACTACTGACCTATCTTAAAGTGATTAATTGTTTAATAATTTAAAATATACATAAATATATGTTTTGTGAAGATGTGAATGTCTATACTATGTTTCAATTTGTAAATTATTGTTTCAATTTGTAATTTACTTTTAGATGTTGACATGTCAAAATTTGGTTAAATGTAATTTTGATGAAATAAATCTAATCATAATCATCAATGTTCAAAATTATTAATCAATAATCAAAATCATAACTGATGTTATGAAAATACGTTTTCTTGACAAAAAGTTAATATTTTAACATTTACACATTTCATTACACATTTAATATAGATCTATGGTATGTTTTTTCGTTCGCAATCTTTTCAGATATTTTGCGATACTAAAATCAAACTTGGAAAATATTTATTTGGTTGCTTCCAAATCATTTGGAATCCACTTTAACAATCACTAGTAGTAACAGAGAGGCAACCCCCTGAGGTCGCAAACTTAGGTGTAGTATCAGGGGATCCATGTCTACCATCCCACCAAATTTCATTTCTTTCCGACCTTTTGCGAACCCACCGCTTGGACTACCTAATAAAACTTATAACCCTACTTAAGTCTTTAGTGAAAGCCGCATTGGCATATCTTAATTGGTTCGGAAGATATAAGTACTCAACATGTAGAAAAACATAGTGAGACAACTGGTATAACAATCATTTAATTATACTAATCCTTACACTGCGGGTGTCGCACACGCGTAATTTTTTTTTTCTACAAGCGTGCGAGAAGATGATCTTCTCGCATGCAGAGAAATATAAATTGAAAAAAAAGCAATATATTTTCGCCCATACCCGGGTTTGAACCTAAGATCTTTGCGTTATGAGCCCGAAACCCTAACACTACACCAATTCAGCACATAACATCGGTTTAACATACAGAGTGGCCCAAAGTCTGGAAACGTCCAATTATCTCGTAAATTGCTAGTCCTAATTGTACAAAATTTGGGGTACACCTATATTGGGATACGGAGATTCCAGATTTGATATTTGCAATGTTGCCAGATTTTCCGTTTCTCTTATATTATTAGTCACGTTGGTTTTTCAAATTGATCACCCTGTATATTAAGTCATTATTGGATTCTCCTATTCAATACGAGTTCAACGATATGTAACACTTATGATTTTATGCAGTCTAGAAGGTCTTAAATAAATAAAACAGAAGTCTGGCAACGCCTAATTGTTTCATAAATTTTTTAATACAAACTATTTTCAACTACAATAAAACGTAACAATTGAAAGATTACACCATTTTTAACATAATGGTTACTTTATCAAGTGTTCAAAATGTGCTTCATTTGTGAGTTGACAGTACCCTAATCGATGGTAGAATGCGTCTACCACATTTCTCCATGATTGTTTTATTTATTTAAGACCTTCCAGACTACATAAAATCATAAGTGTTGCATATGGTTGAACTCGTATTGAATAGGAGATTCCAATAATGACTGAATATACAGGGTGATAAATTTGAAAAACCAAAGTGACTAATGTTATAAGAGAAATGGCAAATCTGGCAACATTGCAAATATCAAATCTGGAATCTCCGTATTCCAAAATAGGTGTACCTCAAATTTTGTACAATTAGGACTAGCAATTTACGAGATAATTGGCCGTTTCCAAACTTTTGAGCCACTCCGTATGTATACTTAAACTGTATGTTGTACCTAATGTCATTATACAGGTTAATTCTCTATTTTAGAAATAAATGCGCTTGTAGAAAAAATGTTGAACACGTGCTAGAAGCACTTTTACGCACTCACCTGCTTACCTGCACTCCGCTGCGCGTCGTGCGGGTAACGCAGTTTCGTGCGTAAAAGTGCATCTTCTAGCACTTGTTGCGATAACTACTATTAAGTGTATGTTTTCAATAATTTTCTTGATTATGAAGCTGTTTCCTTAACTAAGTTGATGTACTTGTGTAGTGAATTAAGTTGGCGAACTTTTTGCAATAAATTACGAATGTAAATACAGATGGCAATTTCCCTTGCACAAAGTGGCTCTTAAGAAGTTTTTTTTAAGTTGCTTATGACTTTCTTTACGTGAAAATATTGATGTTTTTCTTACTCAAACATAAATAAAACATGTTGATTTATTTAGAATCTCCTAATGTATGATTTAGTTAGAATCATGTAAAGTGAACAATACTAATTTTTTACTAAAAAAATACGAAATTTTTGTATCATTTTCGATGTAGTCATAGATTAATATTTTAACTTTGGAGAATTAGAAACATAACAGAAAACGTAGAACATGATTTTTGGATGGAAGGACGCAAATCTAAATAATAGTGTCGACCGTTACCCTGTCTGGTCTGTACATGGGGTTTTGGGGTGTGGGCCGGGGCGCTATGATGGGCAGGGGCGCTGTGATGAACAGGGGCGCTGTGATGAGCCGGGACGCTATGATGAGCGGGGGCGCTATAATGGTGGCCGTTTGCGGCACCGGCCCCTATCGGAATGCCGCCCCTCGCTTCCAAGGCATCGTACTGCCGTCCATCGTAGTTTGCGTCAAAGAATTTCTTGAACCACTGCAGGAACTCAAAATTGTCCTGGAACCTGCCTTTTATCAATTTATCTACTGGAATTATCTGCAAATATGGCGGAACAGACCGATAAGATCCAAGGTGAAAACAAATAAAAACTCTAAAAACACTTTGGACTTAATTAACATGTATTTTGTATAATGAACCAATTTTTTGCTCGTTCACAATTATACCTCAAAATTAGATAATGGGTTAATCAAATAAATGATTAAAACAAAAATGTTACAGGTTACCAATGGTAAATTAAATATGTACTCTTTTGACTTTTCTATGGCTGATATAAATGCGTTTTTTTATTATAATATATTTATCAAACCTAAAATTAAATATGCATGAATTATTTTGGACAAATATACAAAACAAGAAAACGCACTACTAATAATAAATGGGTATATAATTTTTTTATTTAAACCAGCTTATCTTAATATTACATAAAATTTTGAAAAATATGAATGTGGAGGTACCTAATTGTCGAAAAATTTGTATTTATTTTACCAGATTCCCGAAAAGATACTTAAATTTCAATGTTTAATATTTATAGTCCGGTCAAGTTGCCCAAAAAATGGGGATAAGGTTGCATTAATTCACATAAAGCTAAACCTTGGTATGATTGTTTATATCATCAATATAAAACAAATGTCAAAAGTCCCAATCAAACACGCATGTGCAAAAAAGTTATTCAAGGTTAAAATTCGCAAAATAGGTTTCTTGTATTTTTCAACCAGACTAAGTTTAATCATAAAAATGCATTAGACAAAAATTGTAGAGCATGCAAGTATCTACAAAAATTGTCTTTACACTTTTTTCCTAAGAATCACCGTTTTGAGATATAGCGATTCAAAAGTGTAAAAAGTTGCAATCTCCATCTCCACGAGTGCGCTGCCTATATACATCACTGGACACGTAATAAAATTAAAAATATTTGTCTGCGTAACTTATACTATGACAGGCTTTAAGCTTCACCTAATGTGAAGTGGAGATCGTGGGTGGCGCCAGCCTGTTATTTAGAACCGGGCGCCAGTAGACTCAGTAAAGTAAAATAAATTTCAGGCCATCAGTTGCTAGTGGGGCAAAACACCAAAAAATATAATAATTTAATAATTAATAATGATTAATAATAATAATTAATAATGATTAATAATAATAATTAATAATAATTAATAATAATTAAAAATAATTAAAAATAATTAATAATAATTAATAATAATTAATAATAATTAATAATAATTAATAATAATTAATAATAATTAATAATAATTAATAATAATTAATAATAATTAATAATAATTAATAATAATTAATAATAATTAATAATAATTAATAATAATTAATAATAATTAATAATAATTAATAATAATTAATAATAATTAATAATAATTAATAATAATTAATAATAATTAATAATAATTAATAATAATTAATAATAATTAATAATAATTAATAATAATTAATAATAATTAATAATAATTAATAATAATTAATAATAATTAATAATAATTAATAATAATTAATAATAATTAATAATAATTAATAATAATTAATAATAATTAATAATAATTAATAATAATTAATAATAATTAATAATAATTAATAATAATTAATAATAATTAACAATAATTAATAATGTTTTTACGGCAAATGTCTTTTTTGCAGCACATATCTTTGGAAGGGACATGTTTTTTTTTGTAGAAATTCAGTAGAAGAATGAGGACTTTTTGTATACCAGAGCCCCCCCTGTCAGCATCATAGCCCTTTATGCACTTTTCAAAAAGGTGGCACCCCTAAACTAAACCCACCTCTGCGGTCAAAAATTCAGTCGAACATGGCAAAATAAATATAAAACAATTAAATAAATACCCTCTTAAATAAAAAAAAAAACTAATGAAACTATGGTTCCTGGGAAGCTATTTAGACAGTATAAATAACTTAACGGTGTATTAAATCAAAATTCAAAATACAAAATAAAGAATTCAATAGAAATGTTAGTGGTTAAATAAGGGCAGTAATCATAATAATAGGCTATAAATAAATACCAAAACAAATGAATTTCTATTTGCGGTTCGTTCCAAAATAACAATCGGATGTCCTAACTCTAAATATTTCGAGCGTTCGCTCACTTATCGTAGTACAAAAAAAAAACAAAAAATGTATGCTGTTCGTTGCCGGCGATGTCGGATAACCCAGTGAAGGTGAGCAATTGTTCTCAAATTCTAATTAGTAGCGAATATTGGTTGGGATTTCAAATATTAACGCTCTACAAACGAGTTTTAGACAAGGAGTCAAGAAAATCGTTCTAACTTCGGAATAACTCGGTTTTGTTTTAGAATTTTATTCGACAGGGTGGTTCCTGTGCAATATTTGGCTGTCCCCTTACGAAACTTCAGAAAATTCCATTGTGAAAAAAAAAAAAAAAAAATAGAATAAAAGACAATTGAATATTACTATAACTCCGGACTGACGTTGAAGTTTAGTCGACAGAGCGGTCCTGTGCAACACTTGGTTGCCGCTACTACGAAACTTCGGAAAATTCCCATAAAATGAAAATTAACTAATTCTCTGACTATCCAAATAATTATTTATCGGAGGCCGAGGGGCAGGAAAAATGAAAAAAAAAAAAGTAAAAATAAAGCAGAACTCGGTGGCTCACTAATGGTAACTAAGGGCAGCAGAAGAGACGGCAGCAAAGAGAGAGTACTCGATGAGAGCATATTACTTTACACTCGGGACTGATTCGGTTTTCCGAGTGGTTCCGAGTGAAGTAGCCAATATTTACAACTCGAAGATTGAAAAAATTGTCCTTTTGACATTTGCCAAAAATGACCAAATACATTACCTGCACTTGAACATTTTAAGCTGGATTCGAATTTCAGTAAATAATGAAATATTTTTAAACACGGAGGCTCCCGCAAATGTTCGAAACGGAAATTTCTAGGAAATAAGAACGTTATCAGACGGAAATTAATTTAAACTGGACATTTTGGGAATTAAATTATTTAAAAATTTAGTGACTTCGTCACAATACCTACACATAAACTGCGTTTTTTTTCGGTCAACTTGTTGGAATCGCCGTTTCATCGATGCGGCCTCGAACGCCTTGTGTTGAATTCGTTTTATTTGTGGTTGATAGTTGAAAGAAATAACAGTTGACAGTTTAGATTTAAATCTGTGTTAACAATTTTATTTAAATGTATCTATGTACCTTAATTTGAAAGTATATTTTTCTAAGACTATTTTTTCGGTTTTACCACAATAAAAAAAATAAATAATGAATTAACTCCTCAATTCCCGCAATCCAGCTGTGAGTTGTCACATCTAACCATAAATTGAAACTGATGGATTGTGTTGCATCGATTGCAACAACGTTGAGTAAAAAGACGTCATTGATAGATTGGTGAAAAAAAAAAGACATGAAGATATCTCACCTATTTCAACGTTGCTACAACAATTGAATAAAAGGACACACGTACGGTACAAGTTAAAACACAGCATAAAGATGAACCAACAGGCGACCTCCGCGTAAAAATATAAGTGTTCCGACAGAATCCTAAATAAGCCATTCGCCATATTCTCCGGATGCTCGTGTAGCATCTTTCATACAGAGCAAAGTCGGTGCATATACATCAGAATTATGATTAAAGCGGCGAAACCTCAAGTACTAAGATCAAAGGATTTCTTATCGAAAGCGTCTGTTGGTTCACCTAAACTGTGGTAAAAAGAAACTCAGCCCCTTATTTTATATGCCATATATATATATATATGCTATATTATAGCCTTCAATTACCTGTGTGGCAACGCTCGTATACCTGCTTCTTTTTCAAAGGCCTAAATGAAATACTAGAAGGCCCGTATTTATAAACCAACCTCAACTGAGTCGAACTTGGCAGAGTCGTTCTTGAACGAAAATTGAAGTTCGGTTATAACTTCTCTAGAGTTCCAGATGCTTCCAGTGTTGCACTGGAATTTAGATATGGACAGTAGCAAATCCGTAACTGTTAAGTACAACGGATTTGTTATTACCTATCTCTAAATTCACGCGGTATAACCGAACTTCGATTTTCGTTCAAGGACGACTCAGCCAAGTCCGCCTCACCTCAGATCTGTTTATAAATACGGATCTTAGTCTTGATCTTTCCTTCGTAGTGAAAACACCTGTTTATTTAAAACAGTTTTTAAAGTTTCGGTAGAATATTATGATTTTGACGAATAGTTTTCCCTAATTACATTTCAGGCAACTTCCATTATCTCCAATAATTCCATTTTTTATTAAAACATTTTATTAAACAAGACCACAATAGACCGTGGAATAGGCCTACCGAGGAAACCACGTTAAAGAAAGCCATGTACAATACCTCACACATGGTGTGAAAACATGTGCTTATTACGGAGAATGCAACTTTTGAAACGCTATATCTCAAAAGCGGTGACTCTTAGGGCCAGTTTTTTAATGAAAGTTTAAACTAAGTTTAATTGAAAGATGATGTATTTCAAATGTAGTTCACGTCTGAACTTAATTTAAACTATCCGAAAAATTGAACTGTTAAAGTTGGGCGTTTAAACTAAAATCAATGTTTTGACACTGACATAATATAAGTATATTTCACAATTTTTGTACATTTTATGTTCGAAGTAATAAGTAAAGACGATGGTGAAATTGCTACCTATTCAATGCATATTAATGTACCATGTACCCAAGAGAATATGCAAGTTTTCGTTTGTCTAAAAAACAGAATAATTAACAAAAGAGAAGGAGGACTTATAGATAATAACATTTATAATAACATATATTTTATTTTCTAGAAATACTGCCTTAACTCCTAAAGTCATGGTTTCGTTTACTATACGATTTTTTGCATCCTTCTTAATTACCACCAACAAGTATAGTACATAAGTAGAGCAATTAAAATTTACCAACAATTCTTCTTCGTTGCTCGAAAAATTGACGGTCCATCAACTTTTTTTCCATTTCGTACAATTTTTCAACTTCACAAAAACGTCAAACTGACATAGAGCATTCAGTTTTGTCGGAAGTCCCTCGATTCGGAACTACTAATATAAATTAAACTTAGATCACTTGAACTATAATACTGACATGATTGGTAATCTCGGTTCTATATTTGATCCAAGTTCAGGTGAACAAAAGTATAAACTGTGATTGAAAAACTGGCTCTTAGGGGAAGAAACGTGTAAGGACAATTTTTGTAGATAATTACATGCTCTACAATTTTTGTCTGTTTTTTTATTATAAAACTTACCGTTAGGCTGAAAAATGTACAAAACCCTTGCGAACTTTGACCTTGATTAACTTTTTTTGCACATGCGGATTGGATGGTGACTTTTGACATTTCTTTTATATTGATGATAAAAACAACCAAACCAAGAATCAGCTTAATGCGAATTAATGTAACCTTGAATGTCTATTTTGACCGGACTGTTACCGATTAATGCACCCTTTATGTTTTTAATTTTAAACAGTTAATTATTTTTATTTTGTCATATAAATTGGGATAAAAAATTACAGACAATTGTATTTCATTTTATTTTTTGTTTTATATATAAATGCTATTTAAGAAACATCAATTTTAATATCTATTCAATTATTAATAGAAAAGCATTGAACTATATAGGGGTCTAAGCATTTAGTAAAATTTTCATAATTTAATATTACTTATTTTGGTATTTTATACAGTGTCCCTGAGATAAGTGGCGAAAGTTTAACCACCATTTTTGCAAAAACATCTTAAGTTCGAAAGATATGTTATTAACATTTGTGATGGATCCATATAGATCTCCATCAATATTAATCAATAAATAAATGGTTTTACAACTCTTTTGACAATTAATTTATCCAGCTTGTAGTCTATAAGGAGTTGGAAAAAGTTGTTATAAGTTACATATTAAATTAAAATTTCGGCATTTTTTTATAAAGTATAACTCAATTTCCTTAAAATACTATTATCTTATAAAACAATGACTTACCTTATCTACTTGCATCTTTTTAAAACTGGCCTGCAGGATTTTAAAATTTTGTATATATTCGTGTTCCAAATTGGTCCGAAATTTAACTCGTTTGAGTTGCACAGAACCCGGAAAAAGCATGTCCATGAACTGACAATAAGCCGCCCCCGTGCACAGCTCCTCGATCTTCGCGAAGCTGCTGTCAAGACATTGGTTGACCCATGCTAGCATGTCATGTCGAGAGAGGTTGTCAGTTGTTACGTTTGTAGAATAAACATTTACCGCCATTTCTGTAACAATATGTTACTATTGTATAAAAATTAAAAATTGCACTTTTATTTACATTTGTCTTAAAAGAAACATTGTACAATTATATGTGTTATAATATTTAAAAATTGTTTAAAAAGTAATTTTTCGAGTAGGTTGGAAAACTCCGTTTCCTAAAATGTCTTTACAATCCCCTTTTTCACCTTTTTAGACATCACTCTGCCTCATCCCCTAGGTACTAAAAATAAATCCCACAAAATGTTTTTTATTGTTTAAAATGTTTCGGACCAAGGGGTACCTTCAGGTCTGAATGCAGCTATTATGTATAAAAAATTTTTATATTAACACGTTGAGCCCCAGGTGGCATTTCACTGATGTCTCATTTTAGTGTACCCATGCGCGTGACACCACAATGATGCCACACAGTAAGATTTGATTTCGGACGCCGAGGCATCAAGGCGATAGCATGCTGCTGTCTAAATGTAATGTCAGTTGGAAATATGCGGTCGAAAGCGTACATATGTTAGCCGGTTGGGGAATTTTTAAAACCTATTAATTTTATCGCATAGTAACACAGACGATGAGCCACAGTCAGTAAAAGGTTCAGGCGCTTGATCTGAATCCTCATCAGACATAACCTCAGTCCATAGGGTCTGAAGTTTCACTTGATTTTTTTCATAAGAACCCATCTATGAATACGAAAATACACTCTGAATGCTGATATAAAAACAAACTATGAATGCCAATACGAAAATGCACTATGAACACCAAATATCTTAAGTATAGCCAATGCACAAATAACAAAAAGGCACGACGGTGTCGACGTTTAGTGAAGGAATAACGATCGAATGACCAATTTTTGAATGAGGCATTGCGCGGTCCAAATGGGAATATTTCATCCTTAGGATGGGGTGGCATCAACGCAATGCCTCAAAAAAAAAAAAAAACAGAAAAACAAACTTGAAAATAACTTTTTCGGCGTATATTGAACATTACCTACACGTGTATAAACCAAATATAAAGTTCTGAAGCAGAAAAAAAAACCGGTCGCAACAAAACATTTTTTTGAATGCCACACCGGGGCTTAACGTGTTAAAAAGAGGACAAAGGTATCCAAAAGTGTGATGTCTTCGATGAGACAAAGGATTGCCAGAGAAAGGGAAAAGTTTTCTTTCATAAGTCGAGTATGATACATTACTGGTTGTTAGAAAATATGTATCTAGGCTGGTTATATCTAACTTTAGCAAGAAAAAGGACATATAAAAGTGTAATAAAAATGTGCGGACACTTTATCATCGGTATAGCATCCCCTCTTTATTCTATCTCAATGAAATCAGACAACAAAAAGCGGGTTTCACTGGGCGAAGTTTTCTCTATATCTAATATATGCAATGTTTTGTCTTAATTTTGAGTACTCAGTTATAAGTTGTAAACATAGTATTAGAGGCAGAATATTTCATTAAAGTACTCATGAGTAATTCACAATAAGTAGCTTCGCACAGTACTCATAATAAGTAACTGAGTTAGAGTACCTACCAAAGCCGGCTACTCACTGCGCGTTACTTGCCGAGTTACTTGACTTGGACTGAACTTGGCAAGTACTTGTTCGAGTACAAGTAAATCGTCTACATTACGCGCGCCTTCTAAAGTAGCAATTTAGGGTAGCGAAACACTTTACTCAGATCCTTTGACTTCGGTCCGTTTACCGACAACCGACGGGAAGTACAAGTAACTTGCTGAGTCTATACAAGTCTCCATACACATTACGTGGTACTTGCAAAGTACTTGGCAAGTAACGCGTAGTGAGTAGCCGGCTTTATATGAATAATACTTAAGACAAATGTGTACTTTTGCAAATTTTAAAGAATACTAATGAAAAAATCGAGTAACGAGTATGAGTATGTGTAGATTCTAGTTAGTGAAAAAAAAAAGTTATAAATATGTTATTTATACTTTTTCATGTAGAGCACATTCATAAATGGATTCGTATTTTATAATCGTTACATTTTTGGACAGTCAGCACCAAACACATATGTACTGTACAAACTGTCTGAGAAAACATAAAATGTAAAATTATAATAGTAAGTAGTGTAGTTCTGTGAGTAAGACACAACAAACAAGACAAGCTGAGGCTTGTTTAAGCCTGTGCGCACTTATTGCTCGTCAGCAGTAGGAATCAGAAGTACTGAGTACTCTAAAATATAAAGTACTCAAAATGTTTCGAGTACTGAATCCCATCAGGATGAAAGTACTCACGAGTACCTATAACTAGGTACGAGTACTTAAGTACAATTTTCAGTACATTTTACAATTATACTGCCCAGCTCTGCATAGTGCTTTCTTCTTAAGATTTTCATAGATTTAAATTTTCATTTTATAGATAGTAATTAATAGTTTATATTGCTTGTCGTTTGGATCAGGTGAATAGAATGACTACCCAGGCATTAACCGTCGGACTGGTAGAGGCCCACCAAATGGCCATTTCAAAAAAATGGGGCATCTAGAGACACCTCGGCAACATTAATAACTTGCAGGACTTTGATGATCTGAGGTCACCTTAAGATGGATCAAAGGTCATGCCACATCGAAAGGTAACCATCTTGCTGATTCACTAGCCAAGAAAGCAGCCAACCAAATACTTTTTGGACCTGGCCCTTCTATTGGCCTGGCAAAATCAGTAGTGACAGACCTAATTAAAGAACATTCCATTATGAAATTCAAGGAAAGGTGGGATGAAACAAGAAACTGCAGAGTTGATAGTGAGCTTTTAAGTAATCCTGACAACACTACAGCAAACAATTACTTGACTATGACTGGACAGAATCTGCGCCTAGTCACAGGCATTCTGACTGGTCATTGCCAAGTACAGAAGCATCTTCATATCATGGGGCTGTCAGAGTCCGCACTCTGTAGTGGGTCCGAACAAGAAGATGAGACCATCAAGCATATCCTTTACGATTGCTCGACTCTCTCATCTATTAGAAGATTTGTGTTCGGCGAGTGTCGGCTAGCACCGGCCAATATAAGAGAAGCACCTCTAGGCAACGTTGTCAACTACATTAAATCTATAGGCTGGCTCACGAGCTAGGAGGTGCTTATCATCTTAGGAGGATGCAAAATGGGCTTAATGAGGCCTAAGTGCCGTGGGGGGTAACCCACCCTCTACACGTTACAGATATAGAGAGATTGTTGTCTATAGTCTGTAGACACTCCTCTCAACATCAACCAGCAGGTTTTTAATAAGTTAATATGCTGCAGGACTTTGATCAGTTGAGAAGATAGCTGTTTGTGGACACCCCTGAGCGTTAATCTGCAGGTTTTTGATTGATAACCTGCAGGACATTGATGAGCTGGGAAGATGTTTCTATCACTAGACATCTCTCAGCAGCAACCAGCAGGTTTTGACATGTTGAAAGACAGGTTCTATATGCTCCTGGGGGATGCACAATGCGCATTATGAGACCTAAGTGCTGTGGAGGAACCCACCTTCCGCATCTTACAGATAGTTTATATCGTTAATTGAAACTAGTGTAGGATATTACTATATTAGAATGTCCGTTTTGAAAAAAATATCATGGTCCTATTTATATAAGGCAGCAATTTATAAAATTAATTTTATTCCATAATCACGAACTTTGTTCTGTATAATTAATATTTTTATTATTATTAGTAAGGCTGGTAACCGTGACCGGTTAACCGGTTTCGTAGCACCAAAAAAACCGTTAAAGAAGGTAACCTGTTTAATCGTAACTGGTTTAACCATAACTGGTTTAACCGGAACCGGTTTATAACCGTATGTATGACTACCAGCCACATCAACTTCCAGTGAACGGGTGTTTTCCAGTGCAGGAAACATAGTTTCGGCGAAAAGAAATTGCTTGCTGCCGGAAAACGTTGATTTTTTGCATCAAAACTCAATAATAAAAAATAGGCAGTTTTGTTATTAGGCATTTGTTATTATTTCTTATTTTTTATCCCAATTAATCATAATTTATTTTTGAATGTTTTTTTACTTGAATATAGTTAATGTTTTTGTTTTTTACCTTCCAGTGGGAAGTGAGTGACTGTGTCCTTTTTTAAATTTTAAATAAAGTTTAACAAAAGTAAAATTGATAGTATTTCTATTATTCTAATTTAATTTTTATTTAGTGCCTATTTTAAAAAAATCAGCGCATTCCCAGCCTGGTTGTCATGGGTAAGGAAAGGTGAAAGGGTTAGTAAAGTGACCCCATTTCTATTGAAAACAAAGGATTTGGTGGATGTGTTTTACCACGATTAAGCCGGTGATGGTTACAGTTAAACCAGTGACGGGTTTAACTGGTCTCGGTTACAGTTAAACCGCCGAATCGGGTCTAACCGGTCTGTTTCGACTGGCTCAGTTTGATCGGACCGGTTAACCAGATATCCGTTCCAGTTAACCGGATATCCGGACAAGTTGTCCGGATAATCGAACCAGTTAACCAGATATCCGGACAAGTTGTCCGGATAATCGAACCAGTTAACCAGATATCCGGACCGGTTATAATAGTAAAAATCCGGTTATATCCGAAACCGGTCAAAATCAGTCGAACCGGTTAACCATTTATCACGTCAGGAATTGACAGCCTTAATTATAAGTATCAGTGTTTTTTATGTTATATGGCTTATATGCCAGCCTCATTTTGTGATCTGATTTTTATTAATGTGTTTTGTGTGGGGTTTGTTACTGTTTCTCTGTTATCAAATTGTTTAGAGCTCTTAATATTATTTGACTATATCGAAACTCAACTTTACAACACAAAAAAAAAATTGTTTTTAAAAAACCTAACAAAATATCGTGTCTTGAAATAAAATAGATAATTTTTTTTTATTTATAAATATCCAAATGTTAAAATTTTATTTTAAAACGTTTGAGTCAGAACGATTCTATTCAGTGAACACTTGGAAAAGCGCTTTTCGTAGTCCTATTTAAATATGGGTACGTGATCTCTATAATGATATATATCATCATTGGTCATATTGCGGCAAACGCGCCCTGTTGC